CTCCCCCAGGGCGGCGCGCAGGTGAGGCTGGACACTCACCTCCGGCAGCTCGCGGAGCTGGTTGGCGTCCAGCAGCAGCTCCTCCAGGCTGCGGGCGTAGCGGTAGATCTCCTCGGGGACGTAGACCAGCGAGCAGTGGCGCTTGTCAATGGTCTCCACATGACGGTTGCACCGCCACAGGGGGATGCAGTGGAACATCGCCGCCCGCCGCCGGGTCCCGAGCCGCGGAGACCTAGGCTCCCCGCCCGCTCCGCCCGCCCGGCGGCTGCGCTCCGCCCGCCGCCCACCCCACGCTCGTTGGCCCCCGTGCTCGCTCGCACCTCGCGCCGGGCTCCACGCTCCCAAAAGCGCCCAGAAACCTCGGGCGAGAGGCGCCCCCCACCCGGCCCCGCGCCCCCGCCCGCCCGCCGCTGCGCCCCTCCCACCCTCCGGCCGCACCGCAGCCGCCACCGCCGCTCTGAGCTTCCTACTCGCCGCCGCCGCCGCGCGACTGAGCATGCGCGCCAGTGGGCTCGCGCCCAGGGCGACTCCCGCCCGAGAGATGCTCCGCTCCGGGTTTTCGCGGCGACCTGTATCCGGAGGGTCGGGGTAGCAGCGGTCAGACGCTAGCGGTCCCCCTACTCAGGCTGGGACCCAGGGAGTGTCGAGGCATCGGAGGGAGCACCTCTGAAGGAGCCCGGGGCAAAGAAGAGGCAGGGGCGAGGCAGCCCGGGGGGAGCAGAATAACTTTGTTTTTTACTTTTACTTAACTCGCTCTCCTCGCTCCCCTTCCCCAAAACCACTTTCCCTTCCGGGGTCAGGCGGGACCGTCCCGAAGCGTACCTTGCGCACCGCGGGCGGCCGGAGCCCCAAGGTTCCGTGTGGTTTTTAGGTGTCTCCGCCGCCCTGGCTGCGGCTTTCTTGGACATTTGCGTGCGCACTGCTCCAACACCCCCCGAAGTGAGCGGGCCGCCCCCGGCCCTGCACGGCACCCCGGCCCCTGCCCTGCCCCTGGTCCTCGGGCACCGCCTGCAGGCTGTGTAGCATTCTCAGTAATCATCGTCTCTGTACGCAGTAATAGGAGATCCCTCTCCGCAAACCACCAACATAGGCGTCAGAGAGTCTACGAGATTCTCACAGATGTGGATGCACCCCATCAGAAGCCCACATACAAAAACGAGCTGGCAAAGATTAGTTTCTGAGCCCGTTCCAGCCTGGCCAGATGTTGGTCCCTGGCGACTAGCCTGGACAGGTGAGGAGGGAGGAGCGAGAGAGGTGGGGCAGGTCGCGTGGGGGCTGCCGGCTGAGCATCCTCCATCCGGCTCCTGCGTTTCTGCACCAACACCCAGTCTCTTGCAAACAGTAGATTTCAGCCCAAGGAGTAGCTGGGGAGGACCCAGGAGGCTCACTACTGGGTGATAATGACCATTCCCTTGCCCCTGATTCGTATCAAGGGACTAGGACCAGAAACCTGAACTGACCCTCTACCAATCTCCAAATAACCAAACTGGCTCCTTCGCAAAGGGTTGCTGACCAGGTGAAAACCAATCACATTTATGGATTGTTTTTTGGGGGTCTACTCTGACTCCCCACCTGGCCACCCCCCTAGTCCTCACACCTTCTGCTTCAAGTGAACTGGGCCTGTGACCTCTGAGTAGACACCACCCAGGCTTTTCCACCCTCACTACTGCCCCCAAACTGCTAAAATCTGGAGCCACAGAATCCGCATTTCTGCAGAAGACTGAAAGCTGAGTGCGCTCCATGGCCAAAGCAAATCTGGGTCCAAAACTAGTTTTTGCAAGGCATATGTGGTCTCAGTTCCAACTGTGCACCAGACAGTTTTCCTGGGGTGAGTGGGGAGGGGAACATTTCATCATTTCAACTCTACTAGAACAGCTTTTCACTTCCCAGTCAGTGAGGATGGGTCCAAGTACCATTGCCTTGTCTGTTTCTACCCTGGCATTATCACCCTAACTCTAATTCAAATCAATTCCTAAACTCCACTGCCCTACCCACTCCACCTTGTCTTTTGTTTGTCCTGGCTTGATTCCTACATTCTCAAGGGAGGTTACCCGGACTTTGAACCTTAGTCACTCTTCCTTCATTCTTGCATTCCAGAAACCCACTTTGTGCCACCTTTAGTGGGAGACTGTGGTTCCTGCCTGAGAGCCTGGGTCTAGAATGGTAAGCAAGTCACTGGCCTTGTAAGTTTTCCAACTGCTTAAAAATAATAATAAAAATAAAGAAGGCCTGGCCCCCCATCTTAACCTTCTATTGACTTCCAGAGATTATCACACTAGATTATTATAATAAACACCAAATGTGTCTTTAAAATGTGGATGATCTTTTTAAAAATTCAAACCTCAAGAAGCGTTCCCTGTGTGCCTCTCCATGGCACTTATACGTCCCTGTGTTAGATTATTTTTGTATTACCTTAATCCCCAAAAGGCTGACATTTTGGACATCAGGTACTGTCTCACTTGCTCTGTAGACCCCTGCAACTACCATAGTTCCATATGTACACTGAATGACCAGTTTGTCTTGGCTCTTTGGAAAGCCAGTGGCAGAATTCTTGACTTTCCTCATTTCCAAAGATCTGCCAAGAATCTGAAACATTAGTCTGGTAAGATAGAAAAAATGAAAACACTTTGCCAAGTGGAGAATTAGGGAAGCAATTCTTTATCCTCCTGAAGAGTTTGAGGGTTTCCCTATTGATATAATTTCTAGTTTCTTTCCCCATATGTATATGATTTGGACTCAAACAAAATGTAAACGACCATAGAAATCTAATTTTTTTGGAATAATGCAATTCATTTTCAGTGTGAACCATTTTTCACATCCATTGGGGCTAGAGAGGTCTGACTTTCAACTCTGGCTCTGCCACCTAATAGCTTTGTTGAACAGGTTGCTTCACTTTTATAAGCCTCAGTTTTATCAGCACAAATGAGGACAATGGTCCACGGGTTGTTATCAGGATTAAATGAGATGGTGTTAGTAAAACGCTTAACGTAGTGTCAGGCACACATCTGTTCAATCAATAAATATTCACTATATACTGGTTTGTCTGTGTAATCAACGTCTATCTTTGTTTTGGGGGTCACTCACTTTGGAGAAACCAGCTGCCGTGTTGAGCAACCCAATAGAGAGACTCACACGACAGTCTTGCCCATAGCTATGTGAGTGAGTAATCTTGGAAGCCAACCCTCCAGTCTCAGTCACGCCTTCAAATGACTGTAGAACCAGCCAATCCCCTAAGTGCAACCTCGTGATAGACCAGGAACCAGGACCACTCAACTAAGCTGCTCCTGGATTCCTAACTCTCAGAAACTGTGTGGAACAAATGTTTGTTATTTTAAGCTGCTAAGATTTGGTGTAATTTGTTACACAGCAACAGATAACTAGTAAATGTACTTACCATGCTCCACACATGGTGCTGCAGATGGGTCTTGCCCTCATGAAGCTTATACTCTAAGGTTAAGAATGATATATTCTCCTCTAATGGGGGACTTCCCTGGTGGCGCAGTGGCTGAGAGTCCACCTGCCGATTCCGGAGATACAGGTTCGTACCCCGGCCCGGGTAGATCTCACATGCCACAGAGCGGCTGCGCCCGTGAGTCATGGCGGCCGAGCCTGCCCATCCGGATCCTGTGCTCCGCAATGGGAGAGGCCACAGCAGGGAGAGGTCCACATACCGACAAAAAAAATGAAAAAGTTCTCCATTAATGGTGTTGTTGTTGTACTATTATTAATTTTTTGACTATGATGGTTGTCATTAATTTCTTTTAAAGTGAAATTCCAAAGTGATAGCTGGTAAGATGGGGTAAAATGGGGATTCAGAGGTTTGAGCATGTGAATTTTAAAGGGAGACACCACCCCCATCCACTAGAATGACTAAAAACAAAAAGATTGACAGTCTCAAATGTTACTGATATGGAGCAACTGGAACTCAGGCTTTGCTGGTGGGGGTGTAAAATGATAAAACCACTTTTGGAAAATAATTTTTAAGTTTTTTTATAAGCATATACCTACCTTAATGATCCAGCCATTCTACACCTGGGTATTTCCACACAAAAGCTTGTTTACAAATGTTGATAGCAATTTTGTTACAGATAGCCAAAAACTGGAAACCATCCAAATAGTCATCAACAGATAAATGAATACTACACTGAAACAATGGAATAACAACAATAAAAAGAAGTTTGTGGGCTTCCCGGGTGGCGCAGTGGTTGACAATCCGCCTGCCAAGGCAGGGGACACGGGTTCGTGCCCCGGTCCGGGAAGATCCCACATGCCGCAGAGCAGCTGGGCCCGTGAGCCATGGCCCCTGAGCCTGCGCGTCCGGAGCCTGTGCTCCGCAACGGGAGAGGCCACAACAGTGAGAGGCCTGCATACAGCAAAAAAAAAAAAAAAAAAAAAAAGAAGTTTGTTCCTTTTCTACTACCCTTCTAATGTTACTAATACTTGTAACAATGTGGATGAATTTCAAAAACAGCATGCTTAGCAAAAAAAGCCAGACACAAAAGAGTATATACTGTATAATTCCTTTTATATGCATATAAATTTTAGAAAATGCAAACTAGTTAAGTGGTACAACGTAGATCACTGTGTACCTGCAGCCAGGGATTGAGGAAGAGATGTGGATAGAAAGATTGATGGCAAAAGGCATGAGGGAACTTTTTGGGATGATGGAAATATTCTACATCTTGATTGTGGTTGTTACGTGGGTGTGTACATTTATTAAACTCATCAAACTGTGTCTTAAAATGGGAACCTTTTAATGTCTAAAATGTATACATCAATAAAATTAATTTTAAAAGTTAACAAATAGTATACAGGTAAATGTACCCAGCAGGCAGTTGTAAATTACATCCAGGGCCAAGTCATGTTGTGTTATTTATTTATTGAGTGGCCACTATGTTCCAGTCACTGATCAATTTACTGAGTTCTGGAGGCTGGGAAGTCCAAGATCAAGGCACCAGTAGATATGATGTCAGGTGAGGACCTGCATCCTGTTTCACAGTCTTTTCACTGTGTCCTCACACAGTACAAGGGAACAGGGGTCTCTACTATAAGGGCACTAATCCTGTTCATGAGGGTGCCACCCTCATGATCTAATCACCATCCAAAGTCTCTGCCTCCAGATACCATCACATTGGGGATTACATTTCAAAATATAAACTTAGAGGGACACATATTCAGTCTATAGCATTTTATCTTCTCTGCTGGATGGCAGCTGAAATTTTGTGTTGAGTTATTTTATGCTTAACTGAGATGCTTGAAAACTGAACTACACATGCATAATAAAAGGTCAGCCAGAGATATAGGCAGAGTTTATGCAGAATTTGGAGCATCCACTATCACTCAAACCTTTCTGAGGTTTCCCCCTCTCACTTCCCGACTGCTGTGGTCACCCCAGCACTGTCAGACTGCTCTAAACGTTAGTTGTTTTCATTTATACAAGAAATATTACCTGTTCTGTGCA